GCAAATATTATTATAATATATTATAGTAATTATATATTAGAGTATAATATTTATTATATATAGTATTATTATAATATATATATTATAATAATTTAAACCCTTTGCTCTCCAACGGTGATTCTCGATCACCACTTGACTTAATATCGTAATTCCAACGGTGACTCTCCGGCACCATTTGGATTGATGCGGCAAATATTATTATAATATATTATAGTATATTATATATATTATAATATATATTATAATAATTTTAACCCTTTGCTCTCCAACGATGACTCTCAGTCACCACTCGAGTTAATGCCATAATTCCAGCGATCCTTCTCCATATTGTAATAATCCAGCATTTGGATTATTATAATATAGCAATTATATATATTATGTATATAATATTATATATAGTATATACATAATATATATATTATATATATTATAGTATTATTACAATATATATATTATAATAATTTTAACCCTTTGCTCTCCAACGGTGACTCTCGGTCACCATTTGAATTAATGGCGTCACTGCGATTGTTGCGGCAACTTGAACGGCGACAATATTTATTTATGTTTGATTTTTTAGAATATCGCTTCACAAATAGGTTCCTAAGCTCTTTACGTATAATCTTACGAGGTGTAATCTTATCTTATGAGTAATTATCTTATGGTAATCTTATGAGGCCACCAAGCGCACCAAAAACGCGAGTCCGAATCTGGAGTTGCTGATTCGAGCGAAAGAGGCCTGGAGTGCAAAGGGTTAATAATAATTTATATTCATCACGGTGTTTTCTTTTGCTCCAGCTCTTCCAGGATACGCGATTCTCTCGATGGTCTTGAGCTCTATCGTCGTCTTTCTCTTCGTCGGCTCGGTGTTCATATACAGGTAAGGGGTAGCAAGATATAATCGATAATAGCTTGCCTGTCTCTCGATCAAGAAATAGGGATTGGCCTCCATTTCTTCTCTTCCCCGTCTTTTCTCCGTCTCTCTCTCTCTCTCTCTCTCTCTCTCTCTCTCTCTCTCTTCTCCTTTTCCTAACATCTTAATCCTATTAATTTCAAGATTCGTAGATACAGTGCGAATTAAAGGGGAGGTTAGGCGAGGTAGTTTTAAGCATTCGCCGACGAATATCGAACGGGTGAAAACGGATTTCCATGCAAATCCGTCCTCTATCTTGAATTCTTTTCAACACGTGGAAAAAAAAATTCTTTCTTTCTTTCTTTCTTTCTTTCCTGTTTCCAGGCACTTTAAGCTCGAGGCGGAAATAGCTTCTATGACGTGGAAGGTGCACTGGAACGATATTATCTTCGTGCCGAACGCGAAAACCCGAGGCTCCATGTTTTCCTTGATCGCGAACAAGATGCGCGGTAGTCAACTGGTGAATGAGAAATATTATACCTCCACTTTGTGATAAAACTATCGCTTTATGAATATGAAAGTTTAAAAAAAAAAGAATGCTCTCAACCTGAGTGCATCCTCGATGATTAATTCAACTTTTGCAAATTCTCTCGCATACAATTCGTTTCTCTTCCCCTCTTTCTTTTTTTCCTTCTTTTCAAATAATTTAATAAAAATATTAAAAAATTTAACAAAAGATCAAAAGATTAAAAAATCCTCGAAATTAAAAAATTTCGTTGGGATTATTTGAAAAGAGAAGAGAGAAAAAATGGGAAAGCGAGTATAATATATATGTTTTTACACGTGGAAAATTGTATTTTTGGAAGAATTTTAAAAAGAAAATATGTGTGTATACATATTGTAAAGGGAAGCGGATAAAATGCTCGGTCGAATATTTCTTTTATCTTTATGCCATTTTTGGATCGCGTAAATGAGATCGTATGAAAAATATTTTACGATATATTTACACGATGCGATTTCTTAGACGGGGAAGTGTTCGAAATTCGAATCAAAAAACGTTCTTTTCTTTCAGACCATATACTCGGACGAAAATATTAGTATGCCAGGTGAAATAGACAGAAACGTCTACATTCCAACCGGAATTTACAAGGTTCGACCTTACTGATGGTAAAACGACGTGTCTCTAAATTTACCTTACTTCGCGTGTTATTTCCTTTCTTTCTTTCTATTGCCTTCCTTCTTTCTCGCTCGCGGATCCTAATTAACGAAAATTAACGTTTTTTCATAATACGTACGTAATGCAATTCGCCGCAGAACTCTACAGTGGCCATAAAACTCATACCGAGGAAAAAGGTGGAAATCTCACGGCCTTTGTTGCTGGAATTGAAACGGGTGAGTTTTTCTTTAAATTTCCGATTTAAAAACGTCCTATCGAACGAGGGAAAAGAGTTAGAGTCAGAGTTTATCGATTATTCAAGAAAAAAACGTAGATATTAAATTTATTCTCAATCTTATTTTGCGCGCGCAGATGAAGGATCTTCAACACGATCACCTAGTCCGATTTTACGGTGCTTGCATCGAACCACCGTACTGTTGCCTTTTGACCGAGTACTGCCCTAAAGGATCTCTCCAGGTTGGTCGATAAATTTTCATTACAATCCCTCTTAAATCGTCCGTTCTAATTTCCTTCTCGCGAAACTCGTATGCACTGTAATACACTTGTAACGAGGGGATGCATACGAAGAGAATGTAACAAAGCTGTTGATACGCGCGGAACAAAAGTTAGCCCCTAATAGCAGCTAGCCGTTAATACACGTATACGTGTATGTACACCTATCTCACGGTCCGCGGTGAGTGAGTGAGTGAGAGAGTATGAGTGAGAGAGAGAGAGGGAGGGAGGGAGGGAGAGAGGGAGATGGGATTAACTTTGGCCGAGGTCGATGTGTGACCGCCGCGTCCGCGGCATGCATTCGTTATCGAGCTCGATTAAAAATTTAATCGAATTCTCGAGATTAAAGTTTTTTCGCTTCTTCCCTCTTAATATCCATCCATACGCTCCACGATGAGAATAAATTTCAATACGACATTTAATGCGATTTTATTCCCCTCGAAAACAGGATATATTGGAAAACGAGCAGATCAAATTGGATCGCGTGTTCCGTGGATCGTTGATCCACGATATAGTGCGAGGGATGGTGTATCTTCACGCGTCCGAGGTGAAGAGTCATGGAAATCTGAAATCGTCCAACTGCGTGGTCGATTCACGCTTCGTCCTCAAGATCGCCGACTTTGGATTGCACGAGTTGAGGAGGCCTGCTTACTGCGAGCCGGAAGTCGACAAGAACAATTACGCGTTTTGGAGGGGTGAGCGAGTACAGTTTTGTACAGTCGAATTCATTTAGTTGGGGGAGAGATAGATCGAGAGGGAAAGGGATAAAGCAGGTGGGTAAAGAGAGTCGCGTTCAAAGGAACCGGGTCAAATGACTGATCCGTGTCCACGTTCCATTGATTGTGCTCGTCAACTACACCTTTGCCTCTTTTTCGTTCCCTCTGTGCACACTGGCTGGTTGCTCAGCTGTATGTACATGTATATATATTTTTCAAGCACGTCTATGTACACTATCGTACATAGTGAATGTAGCAAGGATCGCGACCTTAAAATATTCTTGTTTGAACAGGGCAGCTGTGGACGGCACCGGAATTATTGCGAATGGAAAGGCGGCCACCCGAGGGCACCCAGAAGGGTGATGTGTACAGTTTCGCTATAATCGTTCACGAGATCGTGGTACGCCAGGGGCCATTTTACTTGGGCGAAGATTACGACTTTTCCCCGCAAGGTAAGTCGCTTGCTTCTTATATATCTCTTATATATATTCAATATATTCAAGTATTCTCGCGTGGTACGTACTTGCACACACACACACATATATATATATTCCTTCTTACTTACTTTTACTAACCGAGTTAGAAAAAAAGAAAAAAAAAAGAAAAAGAACAGAATCAACCGACCGATCGAGCGAACGATCGGTAAGGCAGTTTCTAAGAATAGCAGTTTCGTATCGACCGCGATGCGACACATCGCGTTGGTGGTGGTCGGGTGGGTACAACGGGAGAAACGATGAAAACGAAACGAAACGAAACGAAACGGGGGGACGGGCGGCTCGTAGGAGAAGGGAAAATGGTTGGTTGGCGCGTAGTTATGACGCCTGGTCAGATCAATCGGTAACGAAGTTTACGAGCATTCGCAACCTCGGTTTTCGCGGACGCCAGGATCGATGAAAGGATGGAACGTGCCACAAGTAGGCTGGGAACGTTTCGAGACCGGGGTTGAAAGCTCAGTCGAAGCTTTCACGCGTCCTGGAACGTACCACGGCCTTCGCCACGCGCGTGCTTCCTCGTCGCTTCTCCGTTTTCCTCCTCCCTTTCTCCCGAGTCCACGTTAACCACGTTCTCTCTCTCTCTCTCTCTCTCTCTTTCTCTCTACCTATCTCTCTTTCTATCTCTCTCTTTCTTTCCCACTCTCTTCCACTCTCGTTTCGACCTTTGTTTTTCTCGTATATGGATACGAAGAGGAGGATCGTGTGCGACGACGACACGTGAAATTCGAGAGAGACACGATAGATTCTGTGGTACGGCGAACCGTGGGGTCAGGACCTCGGTTAAGTCGGTCTGACCACCACCATGGTTTAATTAACCGTATCAACCCTTCGAAGAAGGACGCGTGTTCGTGTGTGCGTATGCGTGTATGTGTGTGTGGCGCGCGCGCGCGCGCGCGCTCGTGTGCCTTTCTGCGTGGCTGCGTGCCTCGATTGTTTGCGTGTCTGCTGCTGCTGCGTGGCTGCATGCCTGCGCTTCCGACTACGCGCTTGTGTTTACCAATCGCTCGACCGTTCCATTTACGCGGCCCGATTTTCCTTTTTGCTCGATATTCGACTCCTGCACCCCCTTCTTGCCTCCCTTCCACAACACTCTCTTCCCCCTCCCGCCCTTGTTGTGACTCTCTCTCCCTCTCTATTTCTCCTCCCTCTCCCCCTCTGTCTGTCTCTCTCTCTCGCGTCTACTCATCTCTCTCTCCCCCCCCAGTGCCCGCTTTTTCGAACCCAATTACCCTGATTTCGTATCCAGTGATCCGACGATTAATTGATTACTTCGTACGGAACGAAAACTATAAACGGGATATAACTCGGTGTTAGCTGGGGATTATTCGTTTTCATTAGCGTGAAGCGAGAATATTAGATCGTATCGAATACGATTTTTTTTTTCTTCTTCTCTTTCTCTCTCTTTTTTTTGTAAAACGATTACGATAAAACGATTAATAACGAAATGTTGGAACGATCGTTTTTCTTTTGTATTTTCTATGCGGTACTCGTTTACGATATTTCGTCGGATACGAAAACAATGAGTTGCGTAAAAGCGAGAAAATGATATCGGTTTTATTCATCCAGAGTATTCTTTTTGCGCGATTTTCGATGGAATTTGTTCGAAAAGGGATGGAAAATAGTCGTAAATAAAAAAAAAAAAGAAAATCGTTTTAATACGATAGAAATAATCGCGTGTCATTCTCGATCATTCGATATTGATCAAAATTTAAATTAATTAAACATTGAAGCAGAATTTAATCTTTATATAATCTTCATGTTTCATACCACGATAAAGCGTGTATGGATAGCGAGAACGAAGAAGAAAATGTGTGACGAGAGAGAGAGAGAGAGAGTATGAAATTTTGAATGAGAGATAAAAATGAACAAAGAAGCAAAATTTAATTTTTACACCTTTTTTTTCCTGTTTCATATCCCGATAAACCGTGTATGGATAGCGAGAACGAAGAAGAAAATGTGTGGCAAGAGAGAGAGAGAGAAAGTATGAAATTTTGAATGATAGATAAAAATGAACATTGAAGCAAAATTTAATTTTTACACCTTTTTTTTCATGTTTCATATCACGATAAACCGTGTATGGATAGCGAGAACGAAGAAGAAAATGTGTGGCAAGAGAGAGAGAGAGAAAGTATGAAATTTTGAATGATAGATAAAAATGAACATTGAAGCAAAATTTAATTTTTACACCTTTTTTTTCATGTTTCATATCACGATAAAGTGTGTATGGGTAGCGAGAGCGAAGAAGAAAAGGTGTGGCGAGAGAGAGAGAGAGAGAGCGAGAGAGAGAGAGAGAGAGAGAGAGAGAAGAAAGGAAGTGTGGAATTTTGAATGATGGATAGAAATATATGGTGGTGATCGGGATAGATAGAGAAAAGAGGAGAGGAAATGGCGGAGAGGAGCAATACGTCGAGCACGAGTAGTTTAACTTTGCCTACGATGCCGGGCGCAAGTCCCGACGGCGGGGCCAGTCCTCGAAGGGCGGTCAGCCCCTTGCTCGAAGTCCGTAGGCCCCATTGCACCCTCAACTGCGAAACTTGCAACGCCTTCTTGGAGGATTTGTACAGGCATAGTAGGTCACTTTCTTCTTCAAAATCCCAATTTTCTTCCGTCATCCATTTCTTTTTTTATAAATTACAAATTAATTCTCTCGCAATTCGAATTTCAATCAGAGTTGGGCGTTAAAAAAATTAGAGAAAGTAACTAGTTAAAAATTTCGAATAAAAGTTTACTTTAAGTAATCATTTATTAAAATATTCGAATAATCTAATATAATAGTAGTAGCTATTGTAATTGATTTAGTAGCTTTTCATACAACCGTTTGTCAACAGCACTTTGTTTGCGATTATTATCATGCTTTGAATAAATTACCGAAATAACTTTAATCGTTAAATTTTGCTGATTTCAATAACAATCATCTAAACTCTAAGATTCGTCAAAAAATAATAACACAGACATTGTGAAATTAAGCTATTTTCAAGAGTCCACTCACGAGAGAATTACCATGTATATCTCGCAACCTTGTATAGACACCTTTCTTCGAGCGAAGCAATCTATCGTCGTTCGACCAGGCAAGACTCGTTTCACTGAACGGTAGTAGTAAGACGAACGATCGAACCGACGCGACGTACAATACACGTTTCTCGCTATACGTATATCTTTTCTGGTTATAATCGTATAAACGTGATGTCGCGCGATAATGAAATAGAGGAGAACTTTCTTATGTAGCTTATATATATATATATATCTCTCTCTTTTCCTCTTTGTTTCAGAAATAGTGGAAGGAGTGAAAAGAGGAGGTGGTTCTCCGTTGAGACCGGCGATCGACGATGCCGCGGTCGAGGAAGAGGTAATTTCTCGCAATTTCGAGAGCGTTTAATTGCTAGCTATAAACTAAACCTACCCCTCTTGCAGGTGGCCACCTTGATGAGGAAATGTTGGGCGCAAGACGCCGCAGACAGACCAGATTTTCCCGCGCTCAAGCAGACCATAAGGAAAATTAACAAGTGAGTTCTTGTACAATGAGTTGTCCATCTCTCGACTTTTATCGTAATCCTTTATATATTCATTTTTCAGAGATTACGAGAGCAGCAACATTCTCGATAATCTGCTCTCTCGTATGGAGCAGTACGCGACGAATTTAGAAACGTTGGTGGAGGAACGTACAGCGGATTATCTGGAGGAGAAACGCAAGTGCGAGGAACTCTTGTATCAATTGTTACCAAAGTAAATGAAGGATAATTGTTATTCGTGATATCTTCAAGAAAAAAGATGCGTTTGTCGAGTACAATTTTTTTTTCTTTTTTTTTAGGTCTGTCGCATCCCAGTTGATAATTGGACAGAGCGTGATAGCCGAAACTTACGATCAAGTCACTATCTACTTCAGCGATATCGTAGGATTTACTAAACTCTCGGCCGAGAGTACACCACTTCAAGTGGTGGATTTATTGAACGATCTGTACACGTGTTTCGACTCCATCATAGAAAATTTTGATGTTTATAAAGTAACGTTGCTTTCAAACGAACATCGTCTCTTCTCCAGCAAATTTGTAAATATATATATATTTATTTTTCTTAGGTGGAGACGATAGGCGACGCTTACATGGTGGTGTCAGGATTACCGGTGAGGAATGGAACGAATCATGCCAGGGAAATCGCCAAGATGAGTTTAGCGTTAAGAGACACCGTGATGACGTTTAGAATACGTCACAGACCAAACGAGCAACTGAAGCTTCGAATTGGAATGCATTCCGGTAAAAATGTCTCCACAATGTTTTTCATTTATATCTCTTTTATTTCTCCTTGCGTCGCAAGTAAAACAACGAATCGTGTAAACGTGTTTAAAAAATATATATCATTATTTCAGGGCCTTGCGTGGCTGGTGTCGTTGGTCTGAAGATGCCCAGGTATTGTTTATTCGGGGACACTGTGAACACTGCATCCAGGATGGAAAGTAATGGAGAAGGTAATGCCAGTATGGTTTATTTCTTCAAACGTTTTCTCTTAAGAATATGTATTATATTTTTTCCATTTGCAGCTCTAAAGATCCACGTCAGCCCAAAGACGAAAGAAATTCTGGATACCTTTGGGACGTTTGAACTCGTTTGTAGAGGCGAGGTTACCTTGAAGGTTAAAAATTTTATCACCTATCATCTACTATTCATCCTGTATCTATGTTCTTTATTACAAAATTTTCTGTTTTATTTATAGGGTAAAGGTACGATGACCACCTACTGGTTGATCGGTGAAAAACCAATGAATAGGAATGTTCAGGAAACAATCACCGTGTCCTCGGTGATGACAACAGTAACATCCATGACAACGACGAGCAATCAAGTGTCGATCGAGCAACCACGATCTCACGAGGATCGTGGAAGCGTAGCTGCGTATCAACCGGTGCAATCGAAAACGCACGAGGTTCAATCGGCGACAAACAAACAGAATTGTCAAGAACAAAATCATCGGGCGGCGCAAAAGGGGGTTCAAGAGCAGCAAAGAACACAGTCGAGTCAGCAGAAAGGTCAAGAGCATCGGCAACAACAGGTTGGAGGACAAGGCGGGAGTCCGGAATTGCAGAATCGCGGCAAGGGAGGCAGTGGTAGCAAGGATAGAAGTGGTGGCGATGGTGGCCGCGGTGGTGGGAAGGAAGATGGTGGAGGTGGAGGTGGGGGTGGAAATAGAGATTGGAACGACGGTAACAAGGACGAGAGCAAGGTGGAGAGACAAGGTGGAGAGACATTTACCAAGGGAAACGGTTTAACGAGTCGTGTACGTACGATAAGCAACGGTTCGTCCGCTTCACCGTCTCGTAATCATTCTCTCGGTTCGACATCGTCGACCGTCAATCTTTCACAGGGGCGACGGCCCTATCAAGCTAGCGAAAGCGTGGCGAATCACACGGAAAGCGGTTCGAGCGCACCCCTCCTTGTACCCACGACACCCCCCTCGAGAGTTTAGTTCCTTTCCTTCGTTCTTTTATCCTCGCCAAACACGTACACACCTTGCGATCTTCCGAATAAATCATCCTCGATATACGTGTATCATCATGTAGAGTAGCAGCTGATTAACTTTCGGATCGGTAACTATCCGATCGAAATTTGGGTCCACACGTTCGAAAGAATTTCTTTCGAAGTAAAAAAAAAAAAAAAAAAAAAAAAGAAAAAAAAAATGAGCGTTACGGGAACACGATCGTTATTTATTGTATCGAAGGAAGGAGGGACCAACGTGCACCTCGAAGGAGAAGGTAGATAATTCTGCCCTCGCGGTAGATAAGTTCCTAGGGTCGAAGGTTTGTCTCTCTCTCCCTTCCTCTCAGCCATCCTTTCATTCTTCTTCTTTCTCTATCTCTCTCTGTCTCTTTCTCTCTCTTTCTCTTTCTGCAGATATTCGTCTCGTA